GTTTCATATCGTAAGACTCTCAGTAATGAGACTAAAGCTAAAGTTGATATACTACAAAATGCAGGATTGCGTGTATGTAATTATCAAGAAGTTGAAGGAGATTTAGCTATATGTAATTGGGATGTTATTATTGTTCAGGCTGAGAGTACACACCGTCTTTCCCTTTTTGGGGGTCGTTCTTATGTAGTTATTTTAGATGAAGTAAATGCTATTATGCGTCAAATGAATAGTGGAGTTCATGCGCGTGAATCGGAAAATGCTATGCGAGATTTGTTGAAGTCAGCTGTTCATGTTCTAGCCATGGATGCTTTTGGAAATGAATCGACTTTAAACTTCTTAAGACAATATCGAGGTGAAGATATACGAGTTTTTGATAATAAGTATCAGCCACATAAAGGTAAGTCTGTAAAAATTCTTTATGATCCAGACAAAGGAGCAGAGGCTATACGTAGAGGTCTTAAGATGCTTGAAGAAGGTAAGCGGGTTGCCTTTTCAGTTACTGCATGCAAAAAAGCTAGAGCTATAGCTATTCAAGCTTCTAAGTTATTAAAACCAGATGGCTCCCACGTTTTATCACGAGTTTATTTTGGTCAAATGGATGGAAAACAGCGTCAAGAAGATTTTGCTGATATCAATGCTACTTGGAGTGCTCTCGATTGTGTGGTTTATACAAGTACTGTGGAAGCTGGTGTTTCCTTTGAGATTTCCAATCATTTTGATGCAGTTATAGGAATAAGCAATATTAATACAGGAGTACATGCTGAAGCTTTTGCACAAATGTTTTATCGAGTACATGATTGTCCATATCATATTATTTCTCTTTATAATAGTAAAAAAACTGGCATTTTCAAAGAACCAAATCGTGATCTCATTCGCGCTGAACTCTCAGCTTTGAGACCTGGAGATTTACCAACTGCTATAAAAGGACATCGTGAATGGGACAAAATTGCTGATTGTTATATTATTGACTCGTCACCAGCAGTTGAAACTTATATTGAGGTTGAATATCAGAAACGCTTATCTGCCAAATATTTTCCTGAAATTCTATGCAGTCTTATTGCTAGTACTGGTGCATCACTTGAATTAATTTCAGCAGAAGATACCGAAAAAGTCAACAGGAATGTAGTTTCTCATACTATTAAGAATGTTGGAAAAAAAATTGAAGGTGCAGATGCAGAATCAATTGCCAGTGCTCCAGATATTAGTCCTGATGAAGCTGAGATTCTTAAACAAAACCTTATGCGTTCTTTTGCTGATAACATGTCTTTACAACGTCATTATTTATGGAGAACATATGCTTCAGGTGATAT